TTCTCTCTCACGAAAACTGTCGAGCGAATGGTCCCGCGGCAAATTGCGCCAGGCCTTTTATATCGCGAGAAGGTCTGGAAGCTTCGATGTTCGCGAAGGGACAGGTCCCGTTAATCGGACGGTTTTCGAAAACACTTGTGTTTAAGGATGAGGTTGCAATTTTCAGGTCGCCGGATTGGTCGGGGCGACTAGTGCGGGCAGCCACCATTGGCGCCGAGTCGCGATTCCCGCCACGCGAAGCGAGCTGTCGTTGGCGCACGAGCGAGCCGAGCTCTGCGTGTCGGCACGCGCCAAATTCATACGCGGCTAAAGCACCTCATCCGCAACATTCCGCCCGCCCTGTAAATGCGTGATTGACAGAAAGTCATTAGGCCCTTCATTACCGGCGCGTGGGTGGCGGAGCTTGGACGCGGCCGCGTTGGTGGCGCTCGGATTCGGTTGCGAATGAGGCAGTCTCATTATCTTGGAAGCATGCCTGTCGTGGGATCAGCGACGCAATTACGCAATTTCGCGCGCGGTTGTGTACAGTGCGGTGGACGAGTGCAGCGCGCAGACATGAGCTCATGACGGTGAATCGCTCGGCGTGCAGGCGACGCCTGGTTCGGCCGCACGCGGGAGGAGAACGAGTTTGACAATTGGTCTCCTTAATTCAGTGCTGGCTGTCTTCACCGTAGCCACTCTGACGTGTCCGTCACTACCGGGATGCACTCGAACGATTCGCGCCAGCGGCCACCGGGAAGGCGGGGTGCATTCATTTCGCACCAGACACAGTCTCCCTGGCGAGAATTCTGAGCTGGTTCTCCACCATTTCGGCCTGTGGTTCAGCGAATGCAGGTACTCCGCGGCCCATCGATTCCAAAAGTGACTCCGCATCCGCTGCACCATCGGCCACCGTGACAATTGATGGTCTCCTGATTGCAAAGGCGCGGGTTCCGGGATAGTGAGCAGCGATGTTCCTACGAGAAAATGACCCGGAGTTAAAGCTGTTATGTCGTCGGGATCGTCGGTCAAGGCCCAGAGCGGACGTGAGTTGAGGCACGCCTCTATTTGTGCGAGGAGGGTAGTCATCTCCTCAAAGGTAAGTGTAGCATCTCCCACTACTCGTCGGAGATGATGCTTGAGCGACTTGACTGCCGCCTCCCAGATTCCACCGAAGTATGGGGCCGAGGGCGGATTGAATCGCCAAGTCACTCTCTCAGCAGCCAGTGCCGCTCCAATCTGACGCCCCTCGGAGGTGCTCGCCCGGAAGAGCGCTCGTAACTGCGAGTCGGCACCCACGAAGTTTGTGCCGCAGTCCGAGTACAGTGTCTGACAGAGGCCTCTCCGGGAGACAAATCGTCTGAATGCCGCCAGGAATCCAGCTGCGGTGTAGTCGGAGGCCACTTCCAAATGGACGGCCTTGGTGCCTAAACAAACAAAGACCACAAAGAAGGCCTTGTGAGCCTTATGGCCGCGGCCCCTAGAGGTGCGAAGCATGACAGGTCCGGCGTAGTCCACTCCGGTATGCTAGAACGGCCTAGATGCGTTGACTCGGGGGTGGGGGAGATCGCCCATGATCTGCTGCGGCACAGCGGCGCGCCATCGTATGCAAGGTAGGCATCGGTGAATGTGCCGTTTGACCACCATGCGGCCACGAGAGATCCAATACCGTTGACGCAAGATGCTCAGGGTAAGTTGGACTCCGCCGTGGAGGGCTCTTCTATGGCAGGCGTCCACTATCAGAGTACGGAATCTTCTGGCAGTATGATCGGATGTTTTTCATCAAACGACAGCAGTGAGTGTTTGAGTCTGCCTCCCACTCTCATGATTCCAAGCTGGTCGATGAACGGACTCAGCTTGGCGAGCGAACTACCGCTGCTTATCAGTGCCTTGCTTGTAGGGTGTTCAAGGCATCCTTGAAGAATCCAGACTGCACCACCCGGATCCAGGCCTTCAGGGCGGCCTCCAACTCAGCAGCTGTCAACGGGCGTACCTCACTCCCTGTCGCCTCATCCCGTTCCTCGCCGACCACGGAAGGGAGCCTGCACACGGCTCGCCTACACCAAGCCGTGATGCGCAACAGCCGTGATAACGACGAGTACCGTCGCAGAAGGTCAGGCTCAGCCGCGGTGGCCACGTGCGATGTGACAGGAAGCCTCCGTTGTTCGGGCACGTCAGCAGCGGTTTCAGTCATCGTGTGCGTCGTCCAGGGTCCTGGAGAAGACGACAGCCACGATGGTCCGTGCCACCATAGTCCGAAGGTTGACAGCGCGCCGGGAGCAAGGCCTCGAGACGCGCAGTCCGCGGGATTCTCCTTCCCTGCAATGTGATGCCAGCGGGCCGACGGGACAGTGCTTTGTATGTCCGCTACTCGATTCGCGACGTATGTCTTCCAGCGGGACAGATGTGCAGTGATCCACGTCAGCGCGATGGTGGAGTCGGACCACAGGTGGATGGGGGCCTGGAGTCCCAGCGTGCGCACAACGTGCGCGGTGAGCCGCGCCAAGAGGTGCGAGGCGCAAAGCTCCAGACGAGGTAAGGACACCGGCTTGATAGGAGCGACCTTGGACTTGGCGCACATCAAGGTTACCCTGAACTTATTGTCGTCTGTTTTAGCTCGCAAGTACAGTACCGCTGCGAAAGCCCTCTCTGATGCGTCAGCGAAGCCATGGACTTCTATCGAGTGCTCAGCTGCTCCATGACACAGCCAACGATCAATCCGGAGAGCGCCCAAGAGGGGTAGCTCCCTTTGGAATTGTTGCCAATCATCCTGGTCTCCCTCAGCGAGAGGGGTGTCCCAGTCGAGGCCTCTTAGCCAGGCCGTCTGGATGAACAGCTTGGCTCGCACAGTGACTGGTGCAATCCACCCCAGTGGGTCGAACAGCTGGGCCACGCGTGACAGGATGGCTCTCTTGGAGGCAGCCGCAGAGCTTTCCTCCTTGACGGAGAAGGAGAAGTGGTCGCTGTTTGGGTGCCACTGCACGCCGAGCATCGCGTGTGACTCCGAGGGCTGCCAGGAACGGTGAGTACTCTGAAACAAATCAAGATCCGGAAGACCCGCCAAAAGCTCAGCAGTGTTTGCGGACCACTTTTTCAGGGGGAATCCGCCCGCCCTGCAAATCCCGATCAGCTCATCTCGAATTCTGAGTGTCTCACTGAGGGTTGAAGCTCCAGTGAGGATGTCGTCGACGTACGAATCTCGACGAAGTGCCGCCGCTCCCACTGGGAAGCGTGCCTCCTCGTCCGCAGCCAACTGCTTGAGGGTCCGGATGGCGAGAAAGGGTGCACATGCCAGTCCGTAAGTTACGGTGTTGAGAGTGTAATCCCGCATGTCCTCGTGTGCATTGTCTCGCCATTTGACACGTTGCAGGTTGCGATCGCTTGGATGTACCTGGATCTGGCGGTACATCTTTTCGATGTCTGCGGCGATGACGTAGCGAGGCCACCTCCACCGCAACAGGACGTCGAACAATGCTGGCAGCAAATTTGGTCCCACTAGCAAATGGTCATTCAGCGTCTCTCCGTTTGCCACGGGGGAAGATCCGTTGAAGACCACGCGAAGTTTTGTTGTGGTGCTTGCCTCCTTGAGCACGCCGTGATGGGGAAGGTAGCAACCAGAAATGTTACCGTCCAGCTCCACCCGTGACATGTGCTGCAAGGATTCATATTCATTCATGAAGTTTTTATACATGACTTCTAGAGTGCTATCCCGAGCGAACCGAGTTTCCAGGCGTACCAGCATTCGCGCCGCGGTCCTGCCGGTTCCCGTGAGGTCTGGCAATGGTTGTCTCAGCGGGAGCCGTACAATGTACCTGCCCTCGGGGGAGCGTATGTGAGTGCGCCGGAATATGTCTTCGCACTCTTCTTCGTCGGGGCTGAGAGGAGCAGGTGTCTGTGGCAGCTCCTCTTGCTCCCAGAATCGTCGTACCAGTGCAGTGAGGTCATCTTCGGCATGGCAGTGATTCACACTGACGGTACTGGCTTTGGTCTCATCGGTCGTGATGCCTGAGATGAGCCAACCTAATGTGGTATTTTGTGCAACAGGTTCCTTGGGGCCGCCCTTCCTCAACCCCTGTTGGATGATGGCAGAATGGATCTCTACTCCGAGCAACAGCTCGATGGGATCGTCTGCTGAAAACTCAGGATCAGCCAGCGACAGGCCTGAGAGGTGGGCCCAGGAGCTAGTGCTCACCCGCCTGCCACCGCAGTACTCCGTCAGCCGAGGTAAGATGTGAGCATGTACGCGATACGACACCTCGCCGTCCACTGGCGACATGGTCACTGTCACGGACCCCTTCGTGGTGCCCGTCTGATGTCCTCCTACTCCGAACACGCGCACAACCGATGTCGAGCGCCGCAACCGCAATCGCTGCGCTAAGGATTCGGTCACGAAAGACGACTCGGAGCCCTGGTCGATTAGCGCGCGAACGGGGTGTTGCGCACCGAATCTGTCCGTCAGCCGCACTCGCGCAGTGTCCAGCAGCACGGCGGATTTAGTCGCGGCCCGATTGTGGCTGAAATGGGCGGTGGTAACGGGAGGCGCTTCCACGGGACCGCGGTAGGCGTCATGCAACGACGAGTGGTGCTTGGCACAGCACACCGAGCACGTCCGCTTCGACGAACAGTCATTAAGTCGATGACGACCAAGGCAGTTGAAACATAGTCCGTGAGCTTCGACCGCGCTCTTACGATCGGCCGGCTTTTTTGCCTTGAATTTGGGGCACACCATCAGGTAATGACCCTCCTGGCACAGAGGGCACGAATCGGTTGTTTGGTCTTGTTTTTTCGCGTGATGTACGCGTGTAGACCGCGCAGGGGTGTCCACCTTAGCCACGTCGCCCTTCGCCCCCTGGACCGCCTCGAGGATGTGTAACCGGCGCTCAAGGAACGTCTTAAGCGCGTCAAAGCGGGAGCGTCCCGTTTGGCCACGTTAATATTGACCACAGTCCCGATTGACCACGTTAATATCGACCACGTTGTGTATGACCACGTTGATATTGATCACGTTGCAATTGACCACGGTCCCGATTGACCACGGTCCCGATTGACCACGTTGCAATTGCCCACGGTCCCGAT